GGGTCCGGATAAAAGAAAAGTAAAACCTTTTCATGAAAATTTTCTTGACTAGAACATTCAGCACAAACTTTGCTGACCTAAAAAGTGGGTCACGAAACTTTCGCGATTTGTTTCAATTTCTAAGTTTGCTTCGAATTGTCCCAAAGAAGTGGTCATACCTTAATCCTTTACTTGTCTCACTTTTTGAAACCCGAATCTATGAGTCAATTAAAGTTCAACTATATTACGAGTTACATGTTTTCCGCTCCTCAAAAGAGTTCATGCATATCTCCTAACACTCGAATACTACTACTTTGCACGACTATTCACTACTATTAGGTAACATTTTTCAACTCGTCAAATCGAAAGGATAACACGCTTTACATTGCTCTAATCGCTCTAAGTCAAGGCGGTCGATTTGCTTCAGAAAGAGTAACAGTAGACGTACAGATGCTACAAAAACAGAACACAATTTTCTTCACAAAGTTTTTTTTCGTCAATTCTCACTTGCATAAATTTTTTATAGGAATGACATTTCGTACTTATTAACACATTGACGACTGGCAATGATTACAGCGTGGGACCGCTTGACACACCATGTGTGTCAAAGCTAAATTTTGGTAAATTTACTACTATCCTGTGATAAACTCACCCCATGAGCTCTTTTTTGCACTGAATCTAGGATTGACCTCTACTTTTTCTGTCAGCCTTTTAGATCTATTGTAGGTGTACTGTAGATGGCAGTATGCGTAATTATAGTTGAAAAATCTGGGCTAGTTCGTAAACAGCCTCGGTCTGCAACTAATCTGCATGGTCGTCAATGTGTTAACAAATTCAGTATGCTTCGCAAAGTCGTTTTCAAGCCAACGTGGAGAACAATACATTGCTGTTTTGTGTGAACGAAAGTTGGGTACTGAACATTAACGACACGGAGGTGAAAGTAATGGATGACAAACTTATATCTTGTAAATCGCTAAAAATATCCTCGCTTGCTAAACCTTAATCAACGATTGTGCATCATCTTATATATAAAGCTGAATGTCTGTCTGTATGTATGTCTGTATGTCTGTCTGTACGTATGTGCGGAATAGAAATTTTTATTTCTGAACCGATCGGGACCAAACTTGGCACACATATACTTCGGGGCAGGGAGCGTGTCATAGGCTACTTTTCGTTATCGATCGATATCGATTTTATAGATTTTTTGCAAAATTTGAGCTAGGGGGCTGGGATTTTGCACAGGGGGGTAATCGAACATGCTGATCACCCCCACGGGGGTGATCAGCATGTTCGATTACACCCCTGTGCAAATCAGCATGTTCGATTACCCCCCTGTGCAAAATCCCAGCCCCGTAGCTCAAAATTTGCAAAAAAATCGGTGAAATCGACATCGATCGATAACGAAAAGTGGACTATGACACGCTCCCTGCCCCGAAGTGTATGTGTGCAAAGTTTGGCCCCGGGCGGAGCCGGGTTTGCCATCTAGTTTTTCAATAAACTTTTATGAACATTACATTAATAGTTCAAAGGAGACGGTCAAGCGTAAATAAAATCCCGTAGTTTTGAAATACTATCGCTCTCATGAACATAACAAATGTGTCGCCTTAGCGACAGCTTATCTTGACAATTAATTTTTTTTTATGTCAGGACATTACAGTACAGTATTCTGTTCTCAAAAGCACAAATCCTCGAAAAACGGTTTACGGATTAGCCTAAAATTCAGATGTGTAAAATTGCTTAAACATATTCCAGGTTTTGCCGCTTGTCTCAATGACATTTAGAAAGGGTAACGACTCAAGTTGCACCTTCTCCTCATAATGTTTCTGCAATCAACAATTCAATATTTCTAGTCGCTGAGAGAAACTTTTCCAAACATGCCAGCACTAATTATTTGTCGCTAGCTTGATTAGCAAGATGAATTTTTTTTATCAAGTGAAAAGCTGCTTCGCCTTTGATAAACGCATTCCATATTGATGCAAAGTAAGACACGATCTAAGCGACTACTGAAATAGTGGTTTTGAAAATTTGTGCCTTTTTTCTTTGACAACTGATGCTTGAAGCTGAATCAATTGTTTAAAGTACAAGGAAAATGTGTTTGGAGCTTTCGGGTCTAAATGACGGTTATGGTGTACAATGTTCTCAAAATAAGCTGAAAGTTTGAAGTAAACGTGTATGATTAGATAATGTGTAAATTTCCTACAATCGCTAAACTATTTATTTCGTTACTGTCGCACATTTTCTTGAAATAGTAATTTTCTTCTTGTCTCGGTGGATTCGATGATTTATTTCTGGTAGAGTAGAAATAAATAAGCCATCAAATTATAAAGATAGAAACGATATAGATGAGCAAATGAGCACTTGAACTTTGATGATTTTTTAGCAAGTGTTCTGCATGGAAAGACCGCTATAAAATCGATAACACCTTAATATAAGGTCGTGTCAAAGCCAAAGCCGGAGCCAAATGCCCCGTTCCCCGCGTTTGGGGTAGCAAGATAGCGCGCAACGCCCGGAGACGCAGATGAGTAGAAGAGAAAGACCAGAGCCGACGGGGCATTTGGCTCTGGTCGTAGATCTCCGCGAGTTCTCAACGAAACCCTGCAACATTATACTCATTCTGATCGTCATAATACGACTAGAAGCGCTGAACAGCTCGCAAGCCTTTCTGCGCTGAACTTAAGCGCATTATTGTTTATTGACTTATTGTAGTAACTTAATTAATTATTAAGTGTAACTTAGCGATTATTGTTTTAATCGAACTCCGATGGTTTTCGTGAGTATTTGATAGTCAATCGTAGTTTAAAAAAAGGTCAACTGAACGATGTCCTGAATACTATGGAATACGCAAAAACTTCGTAGCACAAAGAAGGTTTAAAACTCAATTTCTCTGTTTTGTGGGATATCTTTGAGATATTAACCACTATACGTACTTCATTCTTATCAACTCCAATATAGCTATGATTTAGCATCTGGGCGAAGCCAGCCGGATGACATCTGCTTTTGGGAAAGGTTGTGTTCTTTTGTTCGCTCAAAGTGAAGGTCACCAAAGTGCATGGCTCCATGTATCGAAGGTATGACTCAAATGACTCATTTTAAAGAGCTCATACTGCAGAAGATCTAATGGGCATAATGAATATTTTTGCACGACAATCTTGTTTCCAGACGGCAACGTCATCTTGTCCTGTAACAACCAACTGGAAGGTGCCCAGTATACTACTCAAAAATCGCTCTTCCAAATTATCATTTGTTGTGCTCTCTCGCAAATCTTACAATGATGCTTGATTTTGAGGAGTATCAGGGCGCTTTCAAGACTTTTTCGGGCCAGGCGCGCTGTCGTTTGAGAAATTGGGATGAAAAATTTGACAAAAGCGGCAAAACTGTTCGCCATGCCGCCGTTATTGGCTGATTTATGCTAGAAACTGCTGTTTTTGTTAGCCGGATCTTACGAGCTTGACGACCTGTTACATCTGAAATACACACCTTCGAAAAAAATTTTTTTGTACGTTTAGAGTTCAGTTTTCACTTAACTGTCAACGGCTTCACTCCTCGATTATTACAGTTATTTAGCATTGACAATGATGTGTTCTTCTTTACTTCTTTGCGTTTTGCATGTATTGGTGTTTTTTTCGGGAGAGATTAACTACCAAATAGGTATCTTGATTCAGTTCGCAAAAAGTTTGTTTTTGGTGGAGAATTTCACAGTTGTTTGGCCATTTTCAACTATGTAAGCCGCCGCTTAAACCATGATATACGAGCACCCCTACAAGAAGTGTCTGTAATTTATTGTCTGTACACTCCTTTACTTGCTACCCCTGCGCTATTGAGTTAGTGTGTTCGTTAAGCGCCACCTATCGCAAAACAACAGTAACGGCCTCACAGTTTTCTGTGTCAAAAAAATAAATGGATCAAAATCGTGCCGCTCGGGATGATGTACAACCGTAGCCTATTCAATTTTTCTCTGTTTTTGGCTCTTGCTGCAATGCATAATTTGGCTCAGAATGGTAAAGATGGATAGAAATCTATAAAGACAAAAAAGTTAAAGTTATTATGTTCAGGAAAGCAGAGAGGACGAATGCTGATATTATAATCGTGTGAATTGTATGCAAAAACTCGTTAACGATGTCTTGTTTGATACTTTGCTCAATACTCACTTATGCAGTGCTAAGGCTTCAAAAAATTATGCATTCTACGAAAATGGTAACATGCTCATCCGTGTGTGTGTCATATAACGGACAGAAACAAAAAGCTTGTTTGAACGCACATGCAAGTAAATGAAGGCAATTCATACGGTTATAAATCGTGGGAAAGCAGCATTCAGCTAGTTATTCCAATAGTTGTTACTTTGCATTTTTGTGAATAGGAATTCATAAGTGTTTTTTACCAATCCGGACGACGAGGAGATTATAAAACTTTGTCAAAAGAAGCTTGTCTGCAAACCGCTCGGCACCATTCTCCTACACTCCATATTTGTTTTCATCTTTACTAAATTTAGTTAATGGTTGACCTATAGGAGCGTTCATAACATCTTTGGTAATCTACTCAGCACTGAAGCCTTATGTACTTTAGGCATAGATTTACAAAACTTTGTATTGTTGTATTGGGCGCAAGGAGATAAATGTTTTCCCAAATCTGCAGGGCTTATCAAACGCAGTGTCGCTTGCATCAGCATCTCCACTCCTGCGCTGGACTCTGCGTTTCTTCCGCGAACATGCTCTCTTTTCACTTCCAGTCGATTGAGGCTCCGCCTTTCCCACGCTCTCCCTGAGAAGGGTGATCAAAGAGCATGTTCGCGGAAGAGATGCAGAGTCCAGCGCAGGAGTGGAGATGCTGATGCAAGCGACACTGCGTTTAATAAGCCCTGCAGTTGTCAAGCATGCATTAAAACCATAAGCGTATCATATACCCACCGAAGTGCTTGTTTTTCGCTGATTTTTTCTCCGCACTTTGACTGGAGAAAAACAGATTTGTCGCAGCTTAATACGCTTTAACACGTAGTTACATAAAACGAGACTCCGCTTTCCAGGCTGTCAGCTACAATGCCAATATCAATAGCAAATGCTGCTGTAAACATATTCCAAGCATGCTGTACGATTCTGCCATGTGAGTGGTTGCAAAGTCTGTAATCAGTGTATTATATCTTTGTATACAATCAGCGATAATAACCATCACAGTATCAGTGGCAAAGCTAAACCATTTGCTAGGTTGCCGTCTTTCTCGAAATTGCTGCCATGTGAAAGACTTACATCTACTCACCCTTGCTAACTGGACAATAGTTGTCAATCAGCTTCCTATTTGAAATTTTTATTAACGCCATAATGGAGTGTTGCCAGATTTTCAAAATAATTACGCATTCATGGAAAACGAAAATGACTTCTAGTCTCTCATCAAAAACATTCACATTTATAGAAGAAAGTTTAAGACCACATTTTCAGAACGCAAACTTGTCAAAAGTTTGCGGTTTAGAACTATCTTAATAGAAGCAGTGAAGAACTGAAGGAAGGGGTTCGGAAGTGGAGCTTCGAAAATGGGTGGCGAAATAGTTAAAAGTTGCTTAGGCTGGGTTCATACTATCCGTACATATGTTCAGGACAGTTCCAGCACACGCACAGTTCGAGCGCTGTGCTGAAACCGTTTCAGTATTTAAAGATCAGTATTTATTTATCTGTTCATTACATACACAGGTGCACCAAACAAAGACAAAAAACAATCTGGCACAGCTTGGTGTATCACTCATTACCCTAATTTCACGCGTATAAGGTGCACTTTGTCGAATTTTCAAGCAAGCCGCTCAGCCACTTCACTGTATTACGAAAAAAATCCTTACATCGCACGATTCCTTCAAGCAATATACTGCACGTTACAGGGTCCTTTGGTTGTAGAGTCCTTTGGCTTATCTGGGCTGGCCCATTTTCAAAAAAGAAAATCCCCCGCGCCTTGTACGCGTGAAATTAGGGTACTTCTGGAATTTGCAGGTCGTTCTCCTTTGCCGGAGGGTGAGGTAGTCTCAACCAAAGTCCTGGCCCCTTACTCAAACGCATCGCATGGACACACCTACCAGGGCTTGGCTGACCAGATTAACCCGGACGAGTCCATTGGGAATCCTGGGCTAGTGGGAAGGGGGACCTCAAGGAAGAGAGCTCACCGGGTCTTCAAACTCCTTGAATGGCTGTTCCAAGCAAAGTCATTATCAACAACCTTCAAAACAATGTCATATGATAAAGGGAACGCAAAAATGTAGGACACCAATCTTAGTTTTGCTTTCATAAAAAGATCCTCTCTTGAGATGAAGTTGACTTGCATGGCTCAATTTCCAATATGAGCATATAGCAAAATCCAGGCAATTTCGCACGAAAGACCACCTTAGCCGATGACGCGTGGCTTCAACCACCCATCGTGTGATCGCATCCTCGAGTAGAAGCAAATAAGACCACAAATTGGATTTACAGAAGTCTGCAAGTAGTTGTGATGTAGCAGATGTCTTGCTTTGGGATAGGGCCCGAAAAATTTTCGGAGTGTGCGGCTAACGCAACGCACCTCTATCAAAGAATTTTTTGCCGCTTCTCTTCCTCTTCCCCCTCCCTTCAAAAGAAGTCTTGGAAACACCACTGCAAAGAAGGCACGTATGATAAAGCAAAAAACTGAGCAATCGTAAACAATGCATGCGGTTTCTTATTTGCGTGGCTCGTTACCTTTTTGTCCAATTTATACAAGCAGGTAGCATTATAGGCAAGAGCCTTGTAGACACTGATTATGTTAAATTCCGTGTAGGGCAACTTTGGAGACCAAACGGTTGCCTACACTGCTCATTCAGGAAGACAGAAGGTCCTAAGCCACCTTCAAAAAACGAGGGGTACACCGTAATTTCTTACATTTTCTTCAAATAAGAGTAATGATTGATTGATGATTCTGTGATGTTCTTGCCAAAGTTAGCCCGCAAGAAACACGCTCGAGGGAGTTTATCCTACGGCGATTTGGGTGATTCCGTGCACTCAGCTTTATCCAACTTGAAGAAATGTCCGACAATAGAGTAAACTTGAAAAAGTTTTGTTGGCGTCTACTTTTTGATGACCGCGACAAATATGTAGAAGCTATGGACAGATGAAAGTCAATGAATCTTTGAAAGCAGCAATCATGAGCGCGGATTATCTAAAAAATGCGTCAAAGAAGAAAACAAGCTTATTTTTAATTGCCTTATATCTATTTAGTTGTGTCAACGATTCCACCACCGACAACACTTCAACAGTGCCAGTGTCCCACAGATTTGTACAGCGACAGTCTCTGCCCTAAGTATGGACCTTGTAACAAAGATCCCAAGGTAAGCTTCTGTTTTAGCTTTACGTAAATACCACCGGATGTTTAATTGATGCAAATTTGTTCGCAAAGCGCCTCAAGAATGTTGAGTATTATTTGCAGTTTCAAAAGCTTTCATGTGAAGTGATTCACCCATTTCGAAACTACTGCAGAATCAATCTCCGATTCTTTCGTAAACTTAGAATGCCAAAAATTCTACCAAAGAAATGCTTATGAATATCATGAATTAACAGAAATAGAACTATGTATTTTGCTAAGTGGTCCTATGTATCCCAGTGTATCAGTGGCGGTAGCAGGATTTCGGACCCGGGGAAAGGGGCGGTAAAGATTCTTTTCTAATGAAGGTGCGTGGCGTGAGCCACGTGCTCCGAAAAAATTTTAGGGGTGCTTCTCAGAATTTTTGCGGGTCTCCAACCCTTAAAATCTGGAAAAAGGGGGCGTGGCGTCATTTACAAGACTAATTTGAATTTTTTAAAAATTTAAAAAATTATTTTAATTGTTTACAAAAATAAACAAGTCATTTTTTATAACCAACGTAAGTAAATTTTGAAAATTTCGCGACCCATTCTCGAGGGGGGGGGGCGTTCCTCCGCCCCTCTCCCCCCCCCCCCCTCCTCGGTCCGCCACTGCAGTGTATTTGTAACAACGCTTTGAGACGCGATAACCGACCTTCGAATGCGATTTTTCAAAGAAGCAAAATGTATCATGACTAAGCTGCCCTTTGAAAGTTGCAGACCAAATCACAACTTTACGCGAAAAAATGTCATGCGGTATGTTACACAAGTCAAAACAAGTTTTAATTTTAGCTATTTCTTTAGTACATTTGCAATCATGTTTATTTGTTTTTTTTTTGGGGGGAAGTCAACAATAAGCAATAACTTTACAAACTTGTCCGTCTAGGCGGAAATGAATGCATTGTCTACAATAGTTGGGCACTTTGCACGGATTTGTTCTGAAGTCTAAGGCACGCGCCATACTTGATCCGCTTAATCCACTTGATCCACTTGATCCGGTTCATCATTGGTCTATTCTATCTATGTAGGGAACTGACCGATAGCGAAGTGGATAAGGTGGATCAAGCGGATTAAGCGGATAATCGCTTCGTTATTGCTCAGTTCGCTGAATCGACCAATGACGAAGCATCAAGCGGACCAAGTGAATTGAGCGGATCAAGTATGGCGCGTGCCTAACCAGAGCTGTTATCTAATGCCCTAGCTGCAATGATTACAGGACATGCAGCTTTCTGATATATGCATCGTGTAAGGTCTCTGCTTGGCTGTATCTTTTACGTTGCTTAGTAGCTTTCGTTTCAAGGGGTGGAAGTCTAGCCAGGAAAACGCGGTTTTCACTATGCACAGCTATTTCAGCCTTACTTTGAAACGAGTTCAACGATGTTACCTAATAAAATCACTTTTGATAGGGAGTGAGTTGAGAAGTGATTGAAGGCAAAGCAGGCAAGCAGGCCGTAAGCGTGGCGCAACACTTAGTGACGCGGACTCCTACCATGTCGATTTTGCTTGATTGCGGTTGAGGCAGACTGTAAATACGAATTCCGGATGTTCAACTAGTGCAACTGTGGCCAACGTGCCACAGGAATGTTGAGTAATAATCGCAGTCTCAAAAGCTTTCTGTGAAGTGATTTACCCATTTCAAAACTGCTGCAAAATCAATCTCTGAATCTTTCGTAAACTAAGAAATCAAAAATATCACCAAAGAAATGCTTACAAATATCATAAATTAGGACCTAGGACTATATCGTTAAGTGATCCTATGTATTCCAGTGTATTTGTAATACAACGCTTTGAGACGCGCAACCGATCTTCGAATTGTTGAAGAAGAAATGTAATATGTCTGAGCTGCTTCTCAAAAGTTGCATTTCAAATTGTATATTTACGCGAAAAAAATGCTGCAATGTTGCATTAGTAAAATCAAGTTCTAGTTTCAGCTAATTCTTTAGTGCATTTGTGATCATGTCAGTTTTCTCATCTTAGGGGCCAACAACAAGCAATAACTTAAACTTCCCGCTTTCTGCAATTCCAGTGCTTGACTAATAGCTCCAACTGTTTTGATCAACAATCTAAGTGACCACTTTATTACATAGAGATTTACTCTATTACATTTCTATTTTTTCAAAGAAAGAATTTGTTCGACATGTTTTCACAACAATGATGTCATTGTTGTAAGAAGCATCTCAAATAAATCCTCTATTTTAAATCATCTTTATTTGCTGTAATGCTCATATGTTGTTAAAATACGGTAGATGCGCAGTGAGGGCGCACTTTCATACATACAGGGGTCCCAAGTAAGTACACACTATTCAATAGCTAATAACTCTCTTTCCATTGCGTCTTTTTCCACCATTTAAGTACGATTCTGTAGAGCGAGCTTCAACTTCAACATACAATATGGAACGAACCACAGATCTCTCTTCTTAGTGCAGGATTAGAAACTTCCAAGTATTTTCGGCCATTGGAAGCCATAATCTATCTCGGAACAACCAAACAAGCCAAAAACTCTTCTACTAGGGTAATGGAAGCCGCTGATCTTGATTATGAAACTACCAATTTACTGTGGTGCTTCTTTCCAAAGTTATCCCGGGTAATACGTAATAACCGAATTCCCAGTAATGAAATGAAATGTGATTACATCGTCAAAAAGGCTAATAACACTCGTAAAAGCTGTGTAATGGAATCAGCCCTAGTAGTCCTAGTACACGATATGTTAACTTTTTGAAAAAAAATTTGTCAGATGGCATATTTCGTAATGGTACATGCTGGAAGTTCTTACCGTAATCGTACAGCAAAGAAGAGAGATCGGTAATTCGATCAATACTGTAAATCTAAGCTGAAGCCTCCTCTACAGAATGGCACTTGACTTACAAAAAAGACCCATTGAGAAAAGAGATATCGACGGAAAAGTGTGTACTTACTTTTGGGACACCCTGTATATCTCCATTCACTGTGTGGTGGGGATGGTGGAAGAGGGGGGGGGGGGGAGAGGACAGATATCTGACTTGTTCACAACAGTTTCGGCACTTTTTACGGATCTCCTTTAAATAACCAAAATGATTATGCGATGCCCTAATGGCAATAATTACACTCATTTGCTGCTAATGACCCCCCGAAAACGGGTGGGGGAGGGGATGGGAGGGGGGAGGGCAGTCCCCCCCTTTCGGTACGCCACTGATGCATTGCGTAAAGGGACACTCTGCTTGGATGTGTCTCCCAGTTGCTTAGTAACTTTTGTTTCAAAGGGGGAGGCGCCTAGCCAGGAGAACTTTACAAAAAAAAATTTGCTCCTGTTCCTTCACCCTCAGCTTCACTTGCCATACCCTACCCAGTTTTCTCAAAAACACACTTCTTCACCCTTGCAGCATTAACCTTTTCTTATCTCATTTCAACCACAGTTGGTCATGTAGGTGGCACGGCTGAGACATCCGATATCCCTCGGTTAACATCGAAAAAGCACCGTAAATTCAACTTTCCGTTTTATTCTCTTGTAGATTGTTGGCCGTTGACATTTTAGAAAAGACCACAAAGAGCTCTCTATACACATCGGCGGATATGCCGCGAGTTTACAAGGATCATCAATAACGGACTTAGCAACACGTAAATATATTAAGCTGCGGCGGGTACGCCAGCCACACAGTCGCCTCAGCTTTGGCTATCAAGAGAGAGCAAGCCACACAGTCGCCTCATTCTTGGCTATCAAGAAATAGCACGTTTCAATCTACGTTGAAGAGCCCCACAACACCTCCGTCCCAAGCAATGAAGTGGCTTGGTGGCTAGTGACGTCCATGCCATTGTCCATTCGGCCTTCTTCGAGACGCGTGGTATGTGATAGTTAAGACGGCGCTCCATACCTGATCTACTGCTCTCTAGTTCGAATGTCGTCTCCACAGCTGGTCGTCTTCCTTAAGCAGCACATCTGTACGGCTTCGTGTACGGCTTCCCTTTGGCCTTTTCACACAAGCTGGAATCCATTTTTTTACATCCAAAGCAAAAATCACGTACCCAAACGACATCTTGTGGTTGATACGCTACTTTCCTCCGTGACGGCGGTTGAACTGCTTCTTTATAGCACTATGCTTATTCTTCTTTTTTGGAGTCTTCGTTCAGCAACGACAGTAGTGTCCTTATCTGACCTCAAGGAGCAGCTCGGCAGCCGAACGTTGTCTTTGTTTTGGAGCAGTCGTACAAAGTTTTCGTCGTTAGGACTGCAAACTGCGCGAGCTTCTTTGCGTTTCTTTCTCCTTAATTTTTTGGAGATATCTACAAACCTCTCCGCTTGTCCATTTGATTGCAGATGGAATATTGATAAATGCGCATGCTTGATTTCTCGTTCTACACCTTGTAACTCCTTTGCTGTAAACCACGTCCCGTTATCCGACACTATCACTCGCGGATTTCCAAATTGTGCGAATAGCAATCTGAGTTCTTTTCGGGCGACTGTAGTTGACAATGAAGGCATCTCAAACATTTCTGGCCGTTTGGAGTAGTTCCTCCCCCCCCCCCCCTCCCTCCAATATATCTTCCATTATCGTGACCGTTCGGGGACTCTGCCCGTATTGCCTTGTCAAATATGGCTCAGACTCTGCACAAAGGAAGAGTATTGCCAGATATCAGGAGAATGACATGCTGTCTACCTAGTCATCCAGTCTGTAGAGAGTTTTTCGCTAATCAGTTGAAGTAGAGCATTACTGTAACCAAAAAAACTGCTTTAGAGCACTTTTTTAAGTTCACCACTCAACCTTTAGATGTATTGATTGATCTTAGTTGGAATACATAACGAAATATCTTTAAGAACTGATTATAGCGCGCAAATTGTGCAAAGAACAAACAAGAACAACAATGAAAACTAAGCACAAAATAGAAGTAATATATTAGTTTGATGCAAAAATGTGCGTCTTTGTTGCTACAGAGAATGAAAAAATCTATAAGAAATATATCGATAAAGCAAAGAGCTTTACATGGCGTTCAAGGGATCACAAGGGATTCGTTAACTGTATGGAAGAAGAGTCTATAAAATTTTAAAAACTCAAACTCGGATTTTTACCTACAGGAATCTAAACAAAGTCCAACTTGTCTGAAAAAGTCACCTTTCGCATTAGCTATTCATTTACACACTTATTGTATATTTTCCACGCAGGAAATCAAAAATATAAAACTTGGCATGCACAAATCTAATGCTGAACTATTACGACGTAAGTAATTCTATACTACAATCATTTGAAAGTATCAAAGTGATTTTTTAGCCTTCTACAAGCGGTAGTCAAAAAATACAGAATCAGAGTAAAACAAATTAAAAAAAACATTCTCAAATTTTTGGTCTAAGTCCAATTTTGATTTCAAGTTGCAAAAAATAGGGCAAATGTATATATGATACCTGATGTGGACAGTATATGCGTGACGAAGCTGGAGATTTGCGACCTTTTATATGGATAGCCTTCAAACTTCACGTGGATCGAACTTTTTGCTTGTGTTGGAATGCTATCTTATAAAGGTTGCTTTGCTCCATCAAATAATATGTTTCATACATCTTTATACCTTCATCTACCTCTGCAATATAGCCATTACCTTTGCTCGTAACAACGTACGCATTGCAAAATTCTTCAGATAGGGCAGAATGCAGACCCCATCGTTCTCTTTAGGTCTGAGCCCAGCTCTTCAACGGCTGGAAGAAATCAAGGAATTGTTGAAGTCGAAGGATGGTTTTAAGCATGACTGTTTTTTCGTATCAGCTTCATCTTTTAAGTCATGCTGACTCACAGCACCCCATGTGTCAATATCAATCAATAGCGAGAGGTAATAAGTGATTGCCGTCTTACCGCTAAAGAGCGGTTTGGATAAGAGGCTGTCTACTTGGAATTCATATGCAGACAGACAGACTAGATACGCATGCAGATAAACTTTTATTGAGCTGTATAAAATGTAATCTAGAGAAAAAAACTGTGGCATACATGATTCGTAGAATTGTCCCCAACGATTGTACTATTTGATAAAACTTGCCAAAATTCTTAAAAAGCACCTCAGAATAAAGAAGGCTTCACAATTTTTTTTTCAGAAGCATTCGTGGGAGGTTAATCGACCATAGTTTTATTTTGCAAAGTTCCGCTAACAGCCTTGTGAGTTTTTCCCTTCACAGGCAAGGAAGACAGATGTACCGTTGCCGCAAAAAACGTCTTTCGGCTTCCAATCAGCTGCACTTGTATTACATGCCTTTTCATTGCAGAAGTGGAAAGCAATCCCAGAAATAAATTATACTGCTTTTATACAGATTCTTAAAAATCACGAATGCTATTCCCAGCTATCAGAAAAAATTCTTCAAAAATTTTGGGCCAGGTAGACTTATTACATGCAAATTATATTGAATCACAAGATTTTTTAATTGTGTGTGGCTCTCCTTCATTGTGTTTGACCAAGCTAAATTATCTGTATCAGGACAATTTACTCTACTTTAAGGCAGTTACATATTATCCTCCGCCACTGTGCCCAGTTAACATAAACTGCGAAGAAACGGACTACTTACGATTTCAATTCTCTGATGGAAGCTACATCCAAAACGGTGAGTTGCATGGGACACAGCATGACATAGCAGACTACAAAAGCGATTTGAAATGTGAAGACAGTAAGAAATTGGTGCGCTTTAGTATGCTCTCTAAAAATTCAAATGCATTATGTGAAGAGTGGTTTTATGCCTGCACCTGGAAGGCCTACTGTGTAAGATTAATTTTGGCTTGAGGAAGAATGGCGGAGTGGCATGAGGCGCCGCTATGATTGGATTGGACTAGCAAGGGGATGTTCAGAAATTGAAGTGACCATTCCAAACAACCTGCATACCATTAGATGCAGCATAAAACGCTGACTTCTAATTTGTACTCCGTATCTGCTTACCTCCCGTGTAAGCGAAGTTATAAGCCGTCAAAGACCTTTATTTTGCTAAGAAATCGTGCACGTAAAGCGCAAATTTGGCAATACAGAGCCATGTTCGGCTCACTGCTGTGCCAAAACATGCAGCTAGGTTACTTTATAATCTTAGAGCCTAAAGGTGAGCTGAAAGTGCAACAATGTGTTCATATTAGCAATTTTTATGAACGATTTTTTCGCAATAAAACTACTCGTAACTTCGTCCACAAAGGCGCGAAGCAGATATGGAATACAGATTCGTAATCAGCGTTGAATGCTGCATCGAACAATAGGCAGCTTGCTTGGATTGGCCACTTCGATTTCTGACCATTCCCTTGTAAGCTTCGATCTCGCCTGTAAGCCAACCGAACCCTTTATACTAAGGAGCCTTTAAATTGGGACCAGAGTAATTTGGGAAGATTAAAGCCCTGACTTTTCAATCCGGTGGCCCACGCAAGCATGGCCCGCTTTCAAACCTCTTCGGCTGTGAAGTAGAGTGCGTTCAAAGCATGCCCACAACGTATATAAAAAACGCCGAATCCTCTATCCTTTACCCCTTAACCTTTTGACTCAGCCTTTTGCAAAAGACCTTCTGACCGCCAACATCAAGCCGATAAAAAAAATACAGCATCAACAATGCTTTAAGGACATTATCACATATGTCCCTTTTAGTATCACAAAGGTGAGTCAGGCTTTGCTGAGCAATTTTGTAAATATTTAACATTGAGACAGATAGTGAAGTCAAAGGTAAAGTTGTTATGATTCAGCAATAAGAAAAAGCCTTAAATAATACCTACAGAACTTTACATTAAACGCACATTATGAATGCGCCGTTGTGCAGTTATATCTGTTGGTTTTGATGTTTAACCAATCAGAAGCTTTACAGAACATTGCTTTTTGTTGCCACATAACCAGGACTAATGTTTTGTTATTCGAACATTAGAGAAGGAAACTGTAGTGAGCGGATCTGATCTCATGTCATAGGTTTTTGAGACAAAAGCGTAAAAAACCGCTTCATTTTGAATCATTTTGGATACTAGTTTGCTTACCCGGCTCCGCTCGGGCCTGTCAAAACACTGTAATAAAGGCCCATCCCTATCCCTGCACAGCCTTTCCCTGTGCCCACTTCTACACTTCATTTCCCGTTCCCTGTGTTGTTTTCTACAATACCGCTCACATTTTTTGAAAAAAAGACGCGAATGTATGGACATGTATGGACATGTACGAACATGTCCATACATGTATGGACATGTCCGTACATGTCCGTACATGTCCATACATGTATGGACATGTCCATACATCAGCGTCGCGTGGCCATATCTCGCTTCAGAGCGGACGAATTCTGAATCCAAGGCCACCGTTCGATTCAGCTCGGCGCGGAGAATCTTCTGATGTAATGGAAGTGGGGGTACGATGTTTTCGATATTCCGTTTCCAGTTTTTTTAATTTGTTCTGCGGAGGTCCTTTCGCGAATATGTGAAGCAACGCCTACCCAACATAGAAGACTTTACTGAGTACTTTTCGATAATACTGTTCTTGTAAATTATTGTGCGCTAAAAAATAGGCTCACTCTTGTTTCCAAAGGAGGTGAAAGCGTTGGTGAATTTTGGAAAAATCACGCGTTTCTAAATTCTACTCGCCATAACTTCCTTCGGAATAAGTATATTTTGAATCCGAAAACTGCGCCTTGCTCAGCTCATCAAGTCGAATCTTCCTATGTACAGCATGTCCTTGGCATTTCGATTTCAGTATTCTTGAATCTTTCTGAGGACGTCTTTTCGCGAAGGTGTAGTGCAGCGAACATTGTCCCGAGTAAATTTCAGCAAGGATCTTTCGATAGCACTTTTTCTGTAGATTATGATGTGCTAAATAGTAATCGCAGGTTTCTTTTCAAAGGAAATAGAAGGGCTGGTGAATAGTGGGAAAATCTTGTCGTCCCAAATTCTACTCGCCATATCAGCAGGATACGAAGCTATCTTGCTAAGCAGATGTGAGTTTCGAAATCAGCAGGTCGCATAACCTCTACGAGCAAGTTTTCCGATATGTTCGGGTCATTTCATTTTTCTCGCTTTACGCTCCGGAAGCGCGCCGATGGATTTTGGTCAAAATGTTGATGCTCTTGAATTGTAAGGAAACTTCGCTTATAGAGGTTTTCGAACACGCTCTTTACGAAAATCGTGGTTTTTGAGGATTACAGGGTCTTTTTGGAGAGATACGGTGAGGTGACTGTAACTTCATCACGAAAGTACGTAACTTTGGCCGCACTTCTCGCGTATCTGTCAGAAACCTTGCCTCCTTGTTTTTCTCAGTCAAAGTTACTAGGAAGTGTGCTATCGAATGGTGTATTACTCAGGCTCCATTCTCTGAAATTCGCCGAGTTACGATCCTACAAATACACGTCCTCATGAATTTTGCCCAAATTGTAAGAAACGCATATCTCGTCGAAATTCCTCCGCGAGCGCTTGTATTAGGTCATTCGGAAAGTATTTTCGTTTTTGCACCTCCAAATTCAAACGAGCACAATTTTTCCCTGATTCAGCCTTTTTCCATCAAAGAAACTGCATTGTGTTCAGCAAATTTCTGGTTACACTCTTATAGTGCTCTTGTGCTTTTTTCTTGCGGAATGATCTCAGAGGAATCACTAAAGCCTAAAAAGGCGTTTTTGATTAGTCAATCTCTATTAGGTCCTATTATTTTTTAATAGGCACCGAGGAATTGGAAAATTCGGTGACTGGTAAAGGAAGGTCTAAAGAGTTTGAAAAATAGACAGGAACCTCGGTGCGCAGTCAACCCCTTTTGTGAGAGCCACTTTTCTTACATGTGGTTTGGCGGAGTCATGAGCGTGGATGGCAACTCTCATAGCTTATACGTGCAAGTCTGCTCAGTTTTGAAATTTTGACAAACAGTCTTCAGAGCGACATCACACTACTCTGCTCTTATAGTACAATAGCATTTTAGCAAGTTTATAGCGTAACCAGCAGGATTACATTAATTTGAGTGCATCAACCTTTTGGAATGACAGATTGTTCTGGTCATGCTTTCAATGCTTATTCCAAATGATTTACCACATTGTCGCTTCTCATTGCCGCACTTAGCCAATTTTTTGCTGTAATTAATAACTCAGGCTGGAAAAGGATTGCTACATAAAATTATGAGCGATGAAAGCAGAGTCAACGCGCCCTCAAACTGCGATTGCGACAATTTGTGGGTACATGTCGCTGAAATTTTTCGGTATTGCAGCTTTAGCGAAGGTGGCTCCTAATAAGGTTATATGACACTTCAGGGCCTGCTGATAATTTTACGCAGCTATAATTGCGATTTAAAGGACCCTATGAGATGCTCGTTTATATGGCAGAAACACCTTCCAGGACACTGCAAAATATTAGCTTTCACTTCTCTAGATCTGAACTTTCTGAAGTAAACTTGAACTTACCTCAAAAAAGACGTGGTCGTGGCAAATGCATTGCGCACAATGATGGTTTCCTCAACGGTCTTACGCTCAGATTTAAGCTTAGAGAATACAATTATTCGATAATCGCGTTTTCGTATGTCGAATTTAGAACCGCGTAAACTCCCCTACAAAGCGTCTTCTGCAATTTCGGTGGGATCCCAGAAACTAGAAGACTTCCTCTACAGATCCATATATGACAACCCTTAACAGCCTCCTGACACCCTCTTAAAATATGGTATCAACATCAAAGGCGCAAAAAGGAAAAAACTATCCGAATGACCTAATACAATGCGCTGATCAAATCCTTCCATATTTTTAATGGATCTTATTGTGTTAGATTTGGTGCTTTGAGCTCTAGCCACGAAATAGCTTTGATATTCAGTTGAGCAGCTGAAGCAGACGCAAGCACCATATTCAGTGCAGTGGGAGACGTTCAACGAAGCGAACATAATATCTGCAACGAGCGTCATACAAGCGCTCACGGAGGAATTTCGACGAAATATGCGATCTTTACATTTTAGGCAAAGTTCATGAGGACGTGTATTTGTAGGCTCGTAACTCGGCGAATTTCACAGACTGGAGCCTGAGTAATACACCATTCGATAGCACACTTCCTAGTAACTTTGACTGAGAAAAGCAAGCGGGCAAGGTTTCTGACAGATACGCGAGAAGTGCGGCCAAAGTTACGTATTTTCGTGATGAAGTTACAGTCACCTCACCGTATCTCTCCAAAAAGACCCTGTAATCCTCAAAGACCACGATTTTCGTAAAGAGCGTGTTCGAAAACCTTTATAAGCGAAGTTTCCTTACAATTCAAGAGCATCAACATTTTGACCAAAATCCATCGGCGCGCTTCCGGAGCGTAAAGCGAGAAAAATGAAATGACCCGAACATATCGGAAAACTTGCTCGTAGAGGTTATGCGACCTGCTGATTTCGAAACTCACATCTGCTTAGCAAGATAGCTTCGTATCCTGCTGATATGGCGAGTAGAATTTGGGACGACAAGATTTTTCCACTATTCACCAGCCCTTCTATTTCCTTTGAAAAGAAACCTGCGATTACTATTTAGCACATCATAATCTACAGAAAAAGTGCTATCGAAAGATCCTTGCTGAAATTTACTCGGGACAATGTTCGCTGCACTACACCTTCGCGAAAAGACGTCCTCAGAAAGATTCAAGAATACTGAAATCGAAATGCCAAGGACATAGGAAGATTCGACTTGATGAGCTGAGCAAGGCGCAGTTTTCGGATTCAAAATATACTTATTCCGAAGGAAGTTATGGCGAGTAGAATTTAGAAACGCGTGATTTTTCCAAAATTCACCAACGCTTTCACCTCCTTTGGAAACAAGAGTGAGCCTAT